CAAGACATTAACTGATGGACTGGAGTGGTGTGGATTACTTGTGGATTACTGTGATGTTTTTATCAGCTGTTTGGACTCTCATTCTGACGGCACCCATTCACTGCAGAGGATCCACTGGTGAGCAAGTGATGCAATGCTACATTTCTCCAAATCTGTTCTGATTAAGAAACAAACTCATCTACATCTTGGATGGCCTGAGGGTGTGTACATTTTTAAGCAAGTTTTCATTTTTGGGTGAACTGTTCCTTAATGGATTTATTGTGGCTGACTGATGAATAAACAAGTTGTGTAGCATAACCTTACCCTGAACAGCACCCGTTGGTGACTGGTTCAGCGGGCTCTTTCTCAGAGAGAGATCTACAGACACTCTCTGACTGAGCGGCTCCCTTGGACTCCATGCCAGAATCTGAGCTCTGTCGAGCCACGGCTGGCTCTCGGCCCGAGTCTGAGCTGGTTCTTGATCCACGCTCACTGCCTGACAGAGAGCTGCTGCCTGGCCCTTCTGTGTCTTTGCCAGAATCAGAACTGTGTCGGCCGTTCAGGCTGTTTGATGAGGAGACTTTACTCAGCTGCCCATCATCTACAAGAGCAACAGATGAAAGACTGTCATTATTTGCTCAAGATATGCAGTATGCTTACAGTATTTTCAATAATCTTCAATCCAATTTTGTCCTACAGCCATTTTTTCATTGTGTTGAGAATCAGTGTTGTTACTGTTAACTTAAACTATAAAAAAATGTTTTAGTAATTGAAATAAAGCTGAAATAATATATAAATATTAGAAAAAACTTAAACTTGAAAAACTAAAATTAGAAATGTTGTCAAGGAACTAAAATAAATAGAACTGAATGAGAATTCCAATTCAGTTTCTGAAATTGAGCTGCAATCATGCAGAAGTGTAATTTAAATTTAAAAAGTATAATTTAATTGGAAATTAGAATAATTGGAAATCTAATTAATTGAGCAGTATTACTTTAATTTTACTTTTTAATATATTTAATATGAACATTTTTTAATATGTTTATTTTTACATCGTGAATTACTTATGTTGTCATACACACAGCTTATGAGGTACTCAATAATAATAATAATAATAATAATAATAATAATAATTAATCAAAAGTGACAGTAAAGACATTTATAATGTTACAAAAGATTTCTATTTCAAATAAATTCTGTTCTTTTGAACTTTCTATTCATCAAAGAATCCTGAAAAAATGTATCACAGTTTCAGCAATAATAATAATAATAATGATAATAATAATAAATGTTTCTTGAGCAGCAAATCATCACATTATAATGAACATTTTCTGGTAACTGAAATAAAGCTACATATCAGATTAAAAACTTAAACTTGCAAACTAAAATTAGAAATGTTGCCTTGTTAAGTAACTGAAATAAATGTTGTATTCAAGTTCTAGTAAAATTACAAAAAATTATAAATAAACATAAATTAAAAGCTAAATAGAAATATTAAAAGAAAAATACACATAACCAAATCATAACGTATACTAAAATTAGAATATAAACAAGCTAATTCAAAATATTAATAAATAATATAAAATTCTATAAATTACACTAAAATAACACTGGTGATATAGATCACCAAAACATTACTAACATTACGCATTAAAAAAAAAAACCTTGTAAATTACTAACAAGCAGCTACAGCATGGGGTGTTTTTAAGTTTATGTCCGAAAAAAACAAAAACAAAAAACAATCTGCCTATGCATCATGATGGGAAGCAGGCAATCTCTAAAGTCAGGACTATAGCTATTGATCAGAAGTTATACAGCCCCTCTGAGCCTCAGGATAATCTTAGTGGCTTTGCCAGTCAATAACTTAAAAAAGATGGATCCCCTCTCAGCTTATCAACTGTCTCTACGCAAAATGCTTTAATGAGCCGACCCTTCCTCAGCGAGGATGATCAAATGCTATGAACCATTTCTGCAGGGTCTTTGTATTGACAAAATGTGCTGAGTTGTAAAACACAGGATTTGCTTTGATTGCCCAGGTGAAAAAGACGTAGTATTAAATGTATTAAAAATATAATGGAGCTTTCTGAGCAGTTTAACACTGGTGCACGTGGAACAATGATCTGGTCTGATAATTGTTGTTAAACACTGTAAACAATATGTGTGATTTGAACATACCTTTGTGCCAAATCTCTGCAACGATCAATCAGGTCAGCAGATGATGGTACAGGGTAGAGAAAACATAACAGAACATCAATCAGTGCACACGATATACACAATATACTGTATTCATAACCAATGTGAGAATGTGAATGGAACGGGAATTCCTTTAAAATTCCAATTCAGTTACATATGCAGACGTTTAATTTAAATTTAAGAAAGAAGAATTAAATAGGAAATTAGAAAATCAAATTAACTGAACAGTAGTGCTTTAATTTTACTTTTTAATAATATGTTTATTTCTACAAAATGAATGACCTGTTATCATACACACTAATAATAATAATAATAATAATAATAAATTCATCAAAAGTGACAGTAAAGACATTTATAATGTTACAAAATATTTCTATTTCAAATAAATTTGGTTCTTTTGATCTTTCTATTCATCAAAGAATCCTGAAAAACAATGTATCATGGTTTCATCAATAATATTAATCATGACAATTGTTTACAACATTGATAATAATCAGAAATGTTTCTTGAGCAGAAAATTATCACATTAAAATTATTTCTGAAGGATCATGTGACACTGAAGACTGGAGTAATGATGCCGAAAATTCAGTTTTTGCATAAAATATATTCAAATAGAAAACAGTTATTTGAAATTGTAATGATATTTTACAATATTACTCTTGTTACTGCTTTTTTGATGAAATAAATTCAGCCTTGGTGAGCATGATAAATATATATACATAAAATAAATAATATAAAATAAAAATGTGCTAGGGTAAATATTTGAAATGACATTTAAATATATTTGTATTTAGTCATATTTCATTATACTTAAAAAAAGTGAATATTTATTTTTACAGACCATGAAGGAAAAAATTTCATAGAATGCTCAAATTGACCTCAAAGTCTTCAAAATAGAGCCAAACAACACAAAGCAGGTTTACCAAATGTAAACCTTAAACCTTAATGAATTTTTTTCTCACTAATTTTGTTGGTTTGAGTGACTTAAATCACTCTGCTGTGTGAATGTGTTGAATTTCTTTTAATTGCAATACGTAAATTCCTCTTCCTGTCATTCCAATTCAACATCCTGTGGGGTGTGGCCAATTTGATTCAAACTCAAACTCATAAAGGGAGTCAATTAAAATCTGAATTCTGGTCCAGGTTCAAAACCTCACCTTAGTGTCCTGACTCTTCACAGGCCTGAGAACCACGCCGTGTTTGATTCTCTCCATCATTTCATTGACAGCTTTGACTTTGACTTCGTCCACTGCTTCATTCACTGCATCGAGAGAGAATGTGTTTGTCCAGATACCAATAACAGGGCAACAGAATAAAAACACACTGTAGGGACAATCACCTAGGGCTTGCGGCTTGATGCTGAAGCACAGCTCCTCCTCTCCTCCTGCAGCTCTTTAACTGTGACAAACGACAGAAGGATGCCGGATGTTACTGTATGTGGATCACTGCGGTTTATGCCTAAATTCTCTATTACAGAAGTTTCAGTATCTGGCCTTCAAATTTATGGTAGGGCTGCAAAACGATTAATTGCGATTAATCGCATTCAAAATAAAAGTGTACACACACATATAGTATGTAAACATCAACTTTTATTTCGAATGTGATTAATCATTTTGCAGCGCTACTTTAAAGTCATCCTAGGTTTTACCTTTCTGTTCCAAAAGAGTGTTTCTCTTCTCTTCCTCCTGCAGTCGTCCCTCAGTCTCTTTCTTTTCTTCGTCTAATATCTCCAGTTGTCTTTGCAGTTGAACTAGCTGCTTACGCAAAGCACATTCGTCCAGTTCAGCCTCTAGAGCTTTTACCTGCAAACAAATGGGACACATGTTGAATTCAAGTCGGAAAAAAAGTTAAACCATTAGGAAAATCAGGATTTTCTTTAAGCCCATAGTTTCTGAGTTGGGCACGTGTCAGTGAGAAAACATGTTGGAAGCAATGGATGCATCTTCTGTATTGATGGTAAATTTGTTCAAATGAAATGATTATTTTTTCATTTACAATAAATCTATCTATCTATCTACTCTAGTTTGGGGGTTCCTTTACCTCCCTTGGAGGATTTCCTCATAATGGCAATGAGAGAGCTGCCGTAAACAGAGGGATGCAATTAGATGTTCAACAACACTGTTCTTAACGATTGTATATGAAAGTTCGGCTTCAGCGCAGTAAAGTGGAGCGTTACCTGAGGGGGTTACAGCGGGAGGGAGGAGGTGGGGGAGGTGGAGGATCAAATGAAATGATTATTTTTTCATTTACAATAAATCTATCTATCTATCTATCTATCTATCTATCTATCTATCTATCTATCTATCTAAAAATGAAATGATTATTTTTTCATTTACAATAAATCTATCTATCTATCTATCTATCTATCTATCTGTCTGTCTGTCTATCTATCTATCTGTCTGTCTGTCTGTCTGTCTGTCTGTCTGTCTCTATCTGTCTGTCTGTCTGTCTGAGTTGCATGTACAAAAATAACACAGTACTGTACAGTACAATTACAATAGATTATATGATTTAATTTACAGCACCTTCATATATTTAATAAAAACACACCAGATGCACATTCTTTATTCATCATTTTGTAGATGTAGAGTTAAAAAGTCTTGTTGAATGTTATGCAGATAGGGTATGTCACCATCTTATGGAAGCCCATTTCCACCAGAAGAAGAGAGATATAAACTCACAATTGCAAGTTATAAAGTCAGAATTGGGGGTATAAACATGCAACTTTGAGTTATAAAACCAGAATTGCAAGATATAAACTCGCAATTGCGAGAAATAAAGTCAGAATTGCGAGATATAAACTTGCAATTCTGACTTTATTTCTCACAATTCTGACATCTTTTCTCAAAATTGTGAGATATAAAGTTAGTTATAAAGTTATAAAGTAAAGTTCTGAAGAAAAAAAGACTATTTTCTCACATTCATGAGGTTATCTCACACAAATGCAAGTTTATATCACGCGATTCTGAGAAAAAAGTCAGAATTATGAGATGTAAACTCACAATTGTGAGAAAAAAAGTCTTAATTTTGTGAATTGTACCTTTTTTATTTTTAATTCAATGTGGAAACAAGCTTCCATACTATATTGCTCCGACAATAATTTGAACACACCTGACTTCCCTACTCGCAAATATGAACTTCTCAGGAGGACTTGAACGCACAAATATTCAAAAATAATTTAAATGCCCGTAAATGGTTTCATTTAAATGATTTGTTTCTGTGGAAATCTGTCATTCTTTTAGATTGGATTGGTACAATGAACTCAAACGGAACTCAAACTGGGGCCAAATGTAAAACGTCCTTGACTTTGGTACAGAATTAGTCCATATTTACAGGCTGACTTGTAAACATGGCTTTGCTAACATAGCCTATTGATTACATGACGTCTGAAGTTAGGATCCATGCTCTTTGGATATGTTTGTGGGTCAGACTGTATATTGACTTATGACACGTCAGTCCTACTGATTCACAAACACTAAATCCAATTTGCCACCAAAAGCAGTACTAGAACTAGTGATGCTGCAATTTTGTCACTCCATGATTCCTTGCTCATCCAGTTTACGGTATCATGTGTAATAAGTAGCTGATGATCTGGAAATGATTTATTTGCTGCCACAGCTTATTGATGACAGTCAGCTGCTGAATGAATCCCCAAATAATGACAGCTGTCAAGCCTCCGGATGTTTCCTCTGGTGCTTTGAGATTTGTGCTGGTTTAATATAGCTGTGGTTGTGTATCGCCCACGTGCGTTTATCATTTAATGTGGTTTGAAAAGTATTACATGTCACTGCTGATGCTGCAAATGTAGAAAAGAAGACCCACAGGAGACCCTAAGAAAAGTACTGAATTACCAACAAGACATTGTGGGGGAGCTGAAGAATGGATGAATGTGGTCTGACACATTCTCAGCCTCACTCCACGACTGTGAAGGAAACACCTAAATCAGCTGTTTGAAATGCCAACTTCACTGCATGCATGGATATGGGTTGCCATATGCTACAATTCAATACTATTTTGTCTAAAACACTAGGGGCCAGATTTACTAATCAACGTGAGAGCACAATCCCATAAATGTGCAGATGGGAGTGGAAAGTTCTGCCCAACACAATCTACCAAGAGCAGTGCAAATTAGCAACTATCACAGTCATGTCAAGCGCAAAATGGGTTAAAATATGCTTTTTTGGGGGCATTAATGGCACAAATACCAGAAGATTGTCTATTGCAAACCTTAGTAAATCACTTTTCATGATTTATTTAAATACTCTGCTCCCATAAATTGTGCGTCTGAAAGGGAAACTCATGAAATGCATGTGCAATAAAGTCAGCAGCAAAAATAACTGTGTCCACGCATTTCAGCGCTAATTTATCACTGTATGTGTTTAGTAAATCCTGCCAGTAGTTTTTTAATGCCAAAAAATTGTTTGTGCTGGTGCAAGCTGTTAGTATATCTGTCCCTACAAACTAAAACCAGTCATTTAAATTTGTGAATTTGGCATTGCATTATAATTTACAGTATGAAAAGTGTTCATTTTGAGATTTGCTGAAGATTAAATTTATTGAAGGTTATTACATTATTAGAACACTTTTAGGTAAGTCAGATGAATGCACAGCACTATTTAGCGCCTGATTAAACTGGATTGTGTGTGGCTATTGAATAAGACAAAACCGTTTATTGAGTTCTAAAGAAATAACGAATATTAGAGGATTAATATTTATGAAAGGATTTAAGTCTATGAAAAGCTCTATCTGACAGTGTTAAAAGCAATGAAAAGGGGTTTAGTCAATTTAATTCTGTTGTCTAATCCTATCATTCAATCCATGATTAGGCTTATTGTGTTCGTGCAAATATGGCTGAACTTTCACAATTTTTTTTCTGAAATTAGCTAATAAAACTGAAACCCTATACTCCAGAAGTTTCACCTACCTTCTCTTGGTGCTGTATTCTCTCTTCTTCTAATGTTTTACTCACACTGGCCACATCTTCCAAAGCTTTGATCAGCTGAATGCTGGGATCTCCCTGCTGCAGCAGAATCATGCTCTGTCTGTTTGCTTCTTTCTGCTTCACCATCATCTACAGGAGAAAATGAACATTAGGAAACGACTTCCAATTTCAGATGATTTTGCTTCTTCAGCTATTAACATACTACTGTGATGCAAGCAATCGTGGACAATTCAACGATTTTGAGGTCACCAGGTCACAGTTTGTCAGAGCGGGGACTGAAGTTGGCCTGTCAACGTGTTTTATCCAGTACCTCGTGTGCATAGGTCTCTGCTTTCTGCCTGAGGCTCTGCTCCAAATCCAGCTGCTCCTTCATGTTTTCATACTCATGAGTGGCCATCATTGACACTGAAGAGATAAACAATGACACCTGATTCATTCTAATAAAGCAATAGACCTGGTCAATCCCTAGACTTTTTGGGTTATAATACAAAAAAGTATCATAAAAGAAAGTATTACAGGCATAGATTATTCTAGGGGCAGCATGGATGGTAATTTACTGATTCCACTTTTACATTAATGATTCTTTTACTAAGCGAAGAATAATTGGATCTAACTATATACTTAACAATTATACAAGATAAAAAGTAATGCTTTATGGAAAAATACACTACTGAAGAAATAAAGAAATACTTTTAAAAATAAATAAATACTTTTATTTAGCAAGTAAAGATATTTATAATGTTACAAGTTTTCTCTTTCAAATAAATGCTGTTCTTTTGAACTTCCTATTCATCAAAGAATCCTGAAAAAATTTATCATATTTTCACAAAAATATTAAGCCTCAAAGCTGTTTTTAACATTGATAATAATAGGAAATATTTCTTGAGCAGCAAATCAGCATATCAGAATGATTTCTGAAGATCATGTGACACTGAAAATTCAGCTTTGATCACAGGAATAAATTACGTTTGAAAATATATTAAGAAAAAAAAAACAGCTATTTAAAATTAACTTACTGCATTTTTTATTAAATAAATCTAGCCTTGGTGAGCATAAAAGACTTCTCTCCAAAAAAAAAAATATATATAAATATTACCGACCCCAAACTTTTGAATGGTTCAAATCTTTTAGTCTTTTAGACATTTTCATTAAAAAGAGCCAGCTCATAATAGAAATTGGTTGTATTGTCTCTACTGCCATGCCATTCCTTGCATATAAAACTAAAAAACTCTCAGTTCCAAGCTCTAAATAACAATGTGACTTCACACATTATATATATATACATTTATATGTTCAGAATAAGTTCAGCATAAGCCAGTGCAGCATTTGAGCAATGCAGTTTCCAATACTCCAGTCAGAGTAATAACACAAATGAGAAAAGAGGGAGCTGGGAGGATGACAAAACAAAGTGAATCACCCCCAGCTGGAGAAGAGGGACTTCCTGTGGTGAATCTTTTACAGATAATTTGATCGGGGACTGTGACATGCAGCCGGTAGTGAGTGGGCTGGTGGGGAACATTAATCTTCTTGGAAGGCACATGCACAGATGCACTGCAGGCCATTTGAGATGATGTCAAGCTCATGCATTTGTATACAAGCGAGGAAATGAAGCGGCTCTGTGTTCATGACGTCCATACTCACCCCTGTTGAACCTTTTAATGGTCTTGCTTTGCTGCTCAATGGTTTTATAAAGCTCCTTCATCTCGGCCTGCTCCTTTTCAGTCTGTAAATTAACATGAGACACATGTTTCAGCTAAGAAACTCAATTAGACATTGTTACTCCGATATCCTTTTAGGATCAGCAGTAGCACAAGGCTTCATTTCAAGCTCATTTATTATTCATGAACAGGTTAAAATATTGCAAGACACTCTGCATTCCAAGCCCCCATTCACTGCCATCAAGCCCGACTGAGCTTGATTTGTGTAAAAAGTTCAAAAGTTGCTTTGCTACTCACAAGTGCTGTCAATTCCTCTATCTGCCTCTGCTGATTTTGAAGCTGGCAAGTCAACTGCTTTTTCTCCTCCAGCAAAGAACTCACGGTTTCTTGGAGATCTGTGGAAAAATCTGAATTTGCAATGGACGTACCCTTGATATAATATGATGACAGATTACTTGGCAAAGGAAATTGCGCACAGGCCTATTTATATTTTGTCAAACTGCACCCCATTTGTTTGAGATACACTATGGTATTTACCTTTGACCTGCTGCTTATACTGTGAAAAAGGATCAGAGCCAGGTTCTCGCGTGTCAGTCTCTTCTTCTTGGGAAATGCAGTCCGAAATACTGGGCAGCAGCTCGTCCAAACACGGCCGTGAGGACAGGCTCAAATACTTCAGCTTCCTGTTCTCACAATTCAACTAAAAGTGGTCAAAACAAAATTATTAACACCATAAATTAGTGACATTTGAAGTTTGACCATTTTTGAAGTTTGGCATTGTTTTAACAGTAAAAGACTGTAAAACATAATACAATAAAAACCTGTTTATTGGTTAACAGTAAATTACCTTATTTCATACAGAGAAAAAAAACCCAGATCTAATGGGACATTTCATGTAATTATACAAGCAAAATATAAAAAATATATATAGATATAAAAAGTATATAAAATATATAAAAAAAACAGTGAAAAAAGTACAGTAATATAATTTAGAGTGAGAAACACATACATTGATATTCCCAGAATTCTCTGTGACAGCTCACATTTGATGGGTTTTCATTGAAATAACTATGTTTTTAAAACAGTAAAAAAAAACAGAATTTGTTATATTAACATCTGTTAATTAAATGTTTTTTACTGTAAATTGAATTCTGTAAAACTTTAAATGTTGCTACCATGTTTTTCGCAGCCATTTTATATTATTTTTATGTTGTTGTTTTTGTTTTTTGTTTTTTTTACAATGAGGCATATTAAAAAAAAATGTTTTTAAAGATTCATTCATGAATCAGATTAATCTGAATCTCAAGTTCAAATTCACAGCCAAATTCAATGCAAAAAATCTCCTTTTGAGTTCAACACTTTTAACAATGTCGACAGATTTCTTTTCACGCTTATATTGCTTTTTAGTTCAAATATATGAAAAGCTGAAAGATGTCAACAAACAGAAATAAATTGATAAAATCATTAAGGTTTTTGGTTACACTTTATCATAGGGTTCCATTTGTTAGCTGTATTTAATGCATTAACTAACAATGAGCAATATATTTTTTACATTCATCTTGTATTTTTTAATCTTTGTTAACGTTAGTTAATAAAAATACAGCTGTTCATTGTTAGTCCATGTTAGCTCAGGTCCATTAAATAATATTAATAGATACAACTTTTGATTTTAATAATGTATTAATAAATGTTGGAATCAACATTGACTAAGATTAATAAATGCTTCATAAGTATTTTTCATTGTTAGTTTGTGTTAACTAATGTTAAAAAAGTTAACCTTATTGTAAAGTGTTACCAGGTTTTCTAATGAAACTGTAGTGTAGTATTGTTGGGTAAGCACCTTGGTAGCCAGAGCCTCTGCATTTTCCCGGCACGATTTCTCAATCTCAAGCTGGGTCTGTAGTACGTTCACCTCCTCAATCACCATTTGGGAAACTGTACAGAAAAGTCAAATGCATTTATGAATAAATTAAAGCACATCAGGTCGTATTTACAGTGAAATCCATCATGCAGGTACTTAATCTAAATCAATTAGATCTAAATCTAGATTCTATACACATTTTAGATATACGCATCAGCAAGGCAGATGTATAAGCCTTTTCTCATGGCAATAAAGGTGTGAGTATAGTCATGTTTTCATCTATATTCATAACAGCATTTCTTAATGTGAACGTCGAGTTAACTCCAACACCATGTATGAGAGGGCTGTCAACACCAGAAGCACAGAAATGATTCACAAATGTTGCAGTTTAATGTATAAAATACATTTTAAAGGCAAAAACAGAGTTGCATGAGCAATTAAACCAGAAATGAGGCATATATGAAAATCTATGACACAGCTTAATTCATTAACAGCATATACAACACGGATTATAAAAACAGCAACTGTAAAAAGTGCATTTTCATTTAGATGTGGTATTAGTCTCAGTAAAACATTATCAGAGTCTAATGAGATGGACAGTTATCAGTTACATGCTCACAATAGGGACCATTTCCCAACACTTTGGGTACCATTGATGGACTGTTGCTACAAAGCACCGGCACGGTAACTCTATACACCACACTGGCCTCTCAAATAGAGGATTGGATGTCACAGCAACGTCAGAGCAACTCAAGTGATTGGTGCATTCATTGCACTACTTCTAAAATGCATACAAATAGCATCTAAAAAACACAAACTTTCAGCAATTCTTTAAAGTGGTAAAATGAAAATGAATGATTTTTTAATATTACATAAACATAATATATGTGCATGAGACAATATATTGGTAAATGCATTATCTGTGCCTGTGCTTTTCACAGGAAATGAGCAAGAGAGGGAGTTTATTATACATTATTCCATGAAAGGCTGTTGAATTATGCAGGAACGAAGCATCTCTCTGTATGCAGTCACAAAGTACATCAATGGCCTGCCCCGGAGCCCTTTCCCAGAATAAATATCCCTCATTTTCTTTTCATGTAGTAACATACTGTACATTGTGAGAATGGAAAGCAGGGCGTAGTCAATGCATGACCTCACTTTGACCTCTTATTCAGGGGGTGATCATGAACTGATTCTGATATCACATCATTTTAGTACAGGTTTGACACTATACAGAAAAAAGCAAACATGCAGATTTAATGTGCAAAAAACGTGATCAATAAAAATCAGAGATCAAACTGTTAAACAGCTTACAGGGTAGCATATAATACTTATAAATGCTATAATACTATTTAAATTCAGCAGGTTTAAGCCACTTTTTTCTTCCTTTCCAGTTAAATACGCAGGATGGGCAGCAGTGCTGCAGTGCGCAGATCTGCAGAGCCAATGAGAGAATAACCTGACAGTTTAAAGTGAAGTTCACAGCTCTCAACAGCTACAAGAACTCTTGCTTAAAACCGAAATCCAAAAGAGAATTCAGTAATGCAAATGTCCATAAGAGAAATGCATATCAGAAATCACCCAAATATGCACTCCATCGATTTGTTTAGCTCACTGATCCATCACAGCCACTGACCCAATATAATATAATGCTTGCTACTGTCTACAAGCATACTGTGCATCATGTAATCAAATGTATATAAGAGTAGTTGACTTTTTTAAATTAATATGAGGACATGAAAAACAGATAGGGGTGTAACAATATATTGTGTCACAATACAAAAATGCAACAATAATATTTATTGTGGATAGAGAAAACATGTATTGTCTAAGTTCGCCCAAAACAAAAGTTTAGACAGATTTAATTTGGCATCAAATATGGTAAACCCAGAAGATCACACATTTGAGCTTTCTGTTTATTCATTTAATATGAATAAACTAAAAATATTATTTTAAATACATTATTTAATAAAATATAGTATTTTAAACTATTTTGAACTATGTACAGGTGCATCTCAATAAATTAGAATGCCGTGGAAAAGTTCATTTATTTCAGTAATTCAACTCCAAAGCCAAAATCATCACAATTAAAAGAACCAAAGACTTAAACTACTTCAGTCTGTGTGCATTGAATTTATTTAATACACGAGTTTCACAATTTGAGTTGAATTACTGAAATAAATGAACTTTTCCACGACATTCTAATTTATTGAGATGCACCTGTATATGTGTAACATAATTCTGTATTTTTAGCTGAACAGATACATATTTCTATTCAATACCACTGAAAAGGACTAAGCACTGATTTCTGAGGTAATACCAAATAATTTTAATCTTTATCACAGGTCTGTAAAGTAATCATAAAAAACACTATTTTGGCTTTGTTTGAAGTATTGTGAGATCACTAACTTGTATTATACTGATACGTGACATCAGTGTATTGTTACTCCCCTAAAAACAAATGTATAATACTTTGTTTTAAACAAAAATCACATCACTGAACACTGCGGAAACTGCTTGAAATTACTGTATAATATTAAAATACTGTATAAATATCTGGTCTTTGCCTACAATAAAAGCAAAACAACCTCAATCTAAGCCCATCTGGGTCATTCACTGATTCTGCATCTGCCAATGATTCAGGGTGTGCGAGTTTGCACGTGCCACCCCTAAAAATAAAGCAGCACAATAACAGGCGTGGGGCTCTGTCTTTCCCTTGCAGATCAGTCCAAACTCATCTGCTCAACTCATTTGGCTTCTAATGACTGACCGAGAGAGCACTGCTGCTGGGCTTTCTTCTGTGAGCAGATTCTATGTCAGCAAGTCCAGCACGCTTAATGCTGCATGAGCAAAATAAGGCTCTGCGGAGTCAGTCGAACAGAGGCGAAAGCTTAAAGAAATGCAGCAGCATCCTTTCCAGACTGCTTCAAACAAGCATTTGTCTGCCACTTTAACACAACGTTAGGCTGGCATTAGTCTAAAGCGCTTCCGTCCCAGTTTTGATCACAGTGATTAAACTCTTTTAATAAATCTCAACAGTTAAGGATTGATTAATCACCAAGCAATTTTGGTTTCAACTCCAGCACTAATTGTGCCTGCGCTTGAAACCCGTAATCTACTCCAAACCCAGGACAGGATGTGTAGACTACATTAAAATGCAAACAGCATTAATTTTTATGTAAATATTAAGATTTTGCTCCTTTCACACACAAACCGTGAGATGTAAAGCGTAAAGGTAAATAAGCTGAGTAATGGGGCTGATAGCTTAACACACAGTCTTTGTTTTAATTTGCATAAGTGTAGAGGGTATTCTTAATGAAGCTTGCTCAGGCGTCCCAAAGAGGAGGTGGGAGACAGCTTCTTTCCCAGACGCAGATCCAGAACCTCCCAGATACTCGACAGCAGTTCCCCTGCAGCAGCCAATCATTAAACAGAACACAGACCAATCACATGCACCCAGCACAAGACTATTGTCCTGTATGACAGCAACTAGGCCAAACTACTGTGACATTTGCTGTGTCATGTTAGCCACAGCAAGAATTTGTGCCATTTAGTAAGACTGAGGTTATAAAATAAATGCACTGCCATTTCATTGCATGAAAAAATACAAAAAATGACCGTAACTCACAAGGTAATTGTGAAAATGTCATGCATTTAGCTTTTCGAGCCATTCATACTGAATATATTTTCACTAAATCATATTCAGAGTGACTTGCATTTCAGAAATGATAAGAGAGTGCATGAGGGGTTTGGCATGAACTACAAAGGAAGGTAAAAAAAAAAAGCGGGTGCCTATTCATTTTCTACTGATAAATAATTCATAATTGGTGATTTTTAATAATTTAGTGATATAACGAGACTGGTCTATGTTGCCTCCCTAGGGAATGTCTGACAATTCCAGGACAACAATAAAAAATGGCAGCAAGCATATCCAAAAAGCAAAAGCCTAAAACAGTTGAAAATAAAACTGGATTCATAACAATATCCACGTTTGCTTAATAATATTGTGAACTGATATTCAAAATATCCAACTAATTTACCAAGCGGGTTTCCAGGCACAATTATATCCTGAAATCCCCCTGAAATCAACACACATTAATAAAGTGTATAAAGACAATATCCACAATTGTATGTATATAGCATGCTAATTTTATATATATATATATATATATATATATATATGTGTGTGTGTGTGTGTGTGTGTGTGTGTGTGTGTATGTATAAATATTGACAACTATTCCTCTGAGAAATATCAAATGCATAATATTATTAGGAACTGTACATCCATGCTATCCAAAATATTAAAAATATGCTTTTTTAAGTATTCTCTACATATATAACTAGCACATAGATTTGAATATCCATTCAAAAACATTAACAATACTCCACAATGCCTCACATATTCACTACATAAACATGAGCACAAACATTCAAAAACCCTGTTAAATGAAACCCTATTTTTAAGCTTGCAGAGAAGAATTTGCTTTTTCTCACCTGAGAACAATTTCCAGATTCTGTTCCTAAAGCTGGCAGCCGCTAGAGTGTTGTCAGAGTGCTAACAAATTAGTTAGTAGCTGAGGCTGGGTTTCCTTACATGTCACAAAATGCAATGGAAGCAGGTAAGGTCGCATCTCCGCGGTTGGCTCCTAGTAGCCATGGAGACTTGAATAACCACTAACACCTACAATAATGGATCATTCAGAAGAGCCCCCAGGTAATGTCATGATGATATGGGTGAGGGCGCGGGGATCGGAGATGAGATAAGACAACGCTGAGGGTCAAGTTAGTGGGAAGAGCCAAGTGAGATCATCTTCACCTCCTACTCTGAGTGAAAAGGTGATATATGGAGTTCATTGAGGTCAGATTTGTTGGACACCAGCATAATCACAAATAATAAATAATACATTAATTGAGCAAACTTTTTCGAATTATGTGGTTAAAGTGTAATGTAATGTAAGACTTTTGGGCTGGCTTGGTAGGTGCATTCAAGTCCTCCTGGAAAATTTGTATTTATGAGTTGGGAAGTTGTAATTACAATGTCAGGCGTATTCAAATCACTTGGTCAGAGCAATTCAGCAAGATTTTTTCTACAAAAAGATGAATAAAGAATGTGAACCAGTGTGTTTTTGTTTTTTATGTTTTTATCCAATTTATAAAGGTGCTGTAAATTGAATCGTTATATTCTCTCGTAATTGTATAATACGATTGTAATTTGTAGATGCAACTTAGATTTTCCACAAATTTATTATCAATACAGACTGGGCATCCATTGCATGTAAATTCTGGGCTTAAAGAAACTTCAGAGTTTCCCACTTGTAATTTCGGCTTTGTGGTGACGTTAATGCGATCTTTCTAACTTGACTTGAATGCACAAAAAGAGCTTGCTATGGTTAAGTGGGTTGCTATGAAAAAAATGCTGTTTAGAATTGTCTTAATTTATGAGTAATGATTTGTGGTCCAGATTGAGCCGGGAACTGGACCGCGGGGTGCTAATTGTTGACCTCTGGTCTACGCAGAAGATCAGAAAATGAATTTGCTGTAGTACCATTAATGACATTCAAATGATTATAGACCACACATATAAACAGAATCTACTCTGTGTTGCACATTGCAATATTTTTCTTACCTTTTTGAATGACAAACAAGCCTGACAAATAGAAATAAGAAACAGCAGATGACTTCACATTCTTTCGCAACAGTATTGATCTTACCCCGTTTAATGTGTTTGAGTTGCCTTTCAGCCTCATCTCTCTCTGCAGTGAGTCTCTGACACTAAAAAAGAGAACAGGTGATGACATATTGAGAAAATGATATATAAGTAATGACAAATTAAATAATTTGAGAGCACAGCAGTTGCTAAAACAACTCCAAAAAAGTTTGGAGTTAGCAAGATTTTTTTTCAAAATGGATGCATTAAATTGATCAAAAGTGACAGTAAAGACATTTATAATGTTACACAAAATTCCTATTTTAAATAAATGCTGTTCTTTTGAACGTTCTATTCATTAAAGAATCTTGAATAAAAATGTATCACATCTTCCACAAAAAAAAAAAAAAAAAGCAGCACAACTGTTTTCAAAATTGATAATAATAAGAAATGTTTCTTGAGCTGCAAATCAGCATATTAGATGATTTCTGAAGGATCATGTGACACTGAAGACTGGAGTAATGATGCTGAAAATTCAGCTTTGCATTAATAAAGAAATAAATTACATTATAAAAAATATCCAAATAGAAAATAGTTATTTTATAACTATGATATAATATTTCACAATTTTTAAGGTATTTTTTATCAAATAAATGCAGCTTTTATAAGCATAATTGACTTAAAAAACATGAAAAAAAGATATATATTTTTGACCACAAACTTTTGAACGGAAGTGTACATATTTAAAAAACAAAAAAAGTACTGAAAATCACATAGCGTTATATTTAACACAGTAATATTTCATAACAGTATCCATCCTGCAAATAAACAGTGACCGCTGACTACTGAACCACACTGTAGATGTTAGGGTATGTATGCAGATACTGTATGTTCTTGCTAGTTTATTCTGATTATCAATCTGTAATTATGGATCTTGTTCTTGCCTTAAATGAATACACTTGTCTTATTTCCAAAACTGAAATGAAATTACACTTTCACGTTTTCTCAGTGACAGTAACAGTGATGCAATCCTCTTGAGAACCTCTAGGCACCTTTCAGAAAAGACCAGTTCTCTGAGGAACTAACAAAACCAATTATTCTTTCTCCTTTCTATAAATTGCAAACGTGTTGCCCTGCCATTATAAATGTGATCCACTGAATCTTATGTCACCGTTATCCTTCCATTAATTTGTTTAATGCAGTTGATTTGTAAAGTTTAATCTAATAATTGGAAATATTAATATGAATGAAACCACAACAGAAATATGAATATGCATGAAACAACAAGAGGAGGAATTGAAAGGTGTAACATGCAACCACATATAATAACGTGTGTCAAGGTAAACTGGTAAAAAAAACAATAATAATGTAAGACCCTCATCTGCATGATCTGCTTAAACTCTTACGAGGCATACAAAAGATGCTCAGACACTGTCACGTGAAAAGGGTGTCAACCCTCGAATGAATAAAAAAGCCGGTTAACTCACACAGCCACAGCCTGATCTCCGATTTCCCCTTTTCTCACTACTCTGAGATTCAGTTATGCTTATGAATAGAGAATGTTATAATAATTAGACGTGAAGGCAGTAAAGATGTATTCTTTCATGCATGCATCTTCTCTTACCTCCTTGGTCTCCTCCCGAGCCTCTCCCTCTTCATCTCCACCGGCCTCCATCTCATTCACTGCATAAATCAACAGAATCACTCAAACAAATGCACGAAACATTTAAACAATCATCTCACGTGCTGCTTTCCTCAGTAAAACAGTTGCCATTCAAAACATGCCTGCTCTATTGTTATACTGAAAATGTTCAGTACCACAGCCGGCAGACAGCGGAGTCGCATCCATCTCTCCCTCCTCACAGCACACTCAGCCAGTCAGTGTACCACCCGGGCGTCTACTATGGCGAAGGCTTGACTCATTAATATTAAGAAACTTGCGTGACGTTTGCCAAATCGACCTACTTGATTTGTTGAAAGGCGGCCGAATTGGCTCCTGAATATTAATTAAGGTAACGTGTACGAGAGGGAGACAAACTCCGCTTAAAAAGCGACTGAGGCTATTTGGATGGAAGTCAACGCAGGAGACGCTTTAAATAAACGACTTTTGAGTGGAAACAAATTGTGATATAATAAATTGAGGGCATTGCTGCTAGTTTTACATGTTTGGTATGACATATTTATTTTAGAAAGAACTATATAAGTGATTTCACCTTCATTTTTTTCTCTAAAACGACTTTGATGAATTCCCGGTGAGGAGCTACACTAGCTACTTATAATCAGTGTTGGGGGTAACGCATTACAAGTAACGCGAGTTACGTAATCAGATAAGTAACTAGTAAAGTAAAGCCTTACTTTTAAATTTACAAGAGAATATCTGAGTTACTTTTTCAAATAAGTAACGCAAGTTACTTTTTTTCCCAATTGATTGATTGACAGCTATGGTGTCGCCATGGTGACAGAAATCAGAAGATGTTACTGAAGTTCTAAAATAAATATGAATATGCATTAATTCATGTCACTCACAAAACAAAAAAAAACACAGATTCAGTATTCCTTAAAATGAATAAAAATAATGCAACTGAGAATATTATTATGTTAAACAACACAAATATCCTTTATGTATTTAATCCCATTCTATTAACCAATGTCTTTGCTTCTGACCTTCGATGTGGAGTAACGCAATATTGTAATGCATTACTTTTAAAAGTAACTTTCCCCAACACTGCTCATAATCTTGAGAAATGTAATCTCCGCAAAACACTCCCATAAAGCACTGCGAATAACACAATAGAGACCCCTTACTTATAGATATATTTAGCATTAACATTGAAATATATTTTCGTATTGTGATGGTTTTATTTTGATATGTCATCGAACAATTAAACAATGGCAATGACGTCAAATTACAGTACAATACAACAAACAGAACAGAAAGATTTAGCACAACTTTCTTTGCATCAAACATTAAACAACATAGGCTAAAGCAAAAAGAGAAATAATGAATAAGATAGCACTTTTTATCTGGATCTGTTTTCTTGAAAACCGTCTCAATAGTGCCCTCTACTGTCACCTCAATGAGGTCTTTCCTTTGGTCACTCTCTTTATCCCAATAGAAATCACAATTTAACTTTATAATATATAAAGAGAAAATATATAATATTATTATTATTCATAGGACAATTCTTAATAGTTTTCCATTAAGTTAGATCAACATGGAAAAGTTACATCCACGTCAGCTAATCCTGAATCTATCATTGTTACATCCATCGTCACTTCTTCCTGTAAAGTGCAGTGTACATTAAAGTTCTAGATCACTCACAACTAATCTTAGACAAGGGTTGTAACAATTAATTATTACATAGATTTTCTCCACTTCCAATATCTGAACTACAACACCAGTTACCGCTCTTTTACATAGGAATCTTTCAGCTTTTACTATAATCATGATCTTGTTTGTTTCTTATCCAAAACTGAACTGTCCTCTATTATCCTCCATTCCTTCCCTGATCATTACCTCTCCATTTTAACCTGAATTCACTGCTCGACAAGATGTGTTATATATATCCCTTTATGGAGTTGCCATATGGCAAGAATTAATTTCTACTCATTTCCTTTTTATTCTGAAAAAATACAATTTATTGTAATATGGGAATTAAAAGGGCAGGCCTTAAGGTAGACAATGATGTGCTGTTTTTAAGTCACATGACATTTGAATTTCCCACGATCACCCTCAAACGGAAGACACCTGCTGAAGTGCTCCAGAAATTGCTCGTCTAACATACTGTAGTTTTACTGTGAAATGAGAAAATAATGTTTCCATATTGCAATGCTGTACCACAGTGGAATTGCAGTAATGTATTTCCCCATTGCATTTGCAGTTATTTATTTATTTGAAGTGTTTATTGTAGTATAGTTATATTTCTGTATAAATAACAAAATTATTTCTTCTTTTCAGAAAATGAATACAGCAATATTTTACGAAAAGTCTAATAGGAAGAGTGCAGTGGATGAGAGTGAGGATGAATTAGCCTTCAGTGAAGGGTAAATGACAGGGATCTACTTATTTTTGGTTTGCATGAGTTCCGAGTATATAAATCTATCAATTTCTAAAAGAAAAGTGCATTTAAATAGAAAAGAAACTTCAACCAAAAGTTACAAGATGCTTTATATTTTACATTTTCATAGCTTCAGCCAAAGCTTCGTCCAAAGTTAATATTTCTTAAAAACGTATTAAATAAAATTAAAATTTACGAGCTTACAGCACTCAGTTTCATATGTAACTGAGCTCATTCATAGCTCAGTCTCTGTCCACCGAGGGGTCCTTGGCCCATAGACTGAAGGCCCCATGTAAACACATAGCAGTGAAAGTGACGTGACATGTGGCCAAGTATGGTTACCCATACTAGGAATTAGTGCTCTGCATTTAACCCATCCTAAGTGCACACACACAGCAGTGAACACACACAACAAACAAGAAACAAGCTCAATTTCATGCATAACTTTTTACTACAACATGTCATGGCATATGTTTGAAAGTAACTTTATCTCTTGAGTACTGCGGTTTGTTACCACCACTTGCAGTGCATTGGTCGAGCATTCATGTTTACATACTTTTGTACAGTATGTTTCTGACCTTAGTCTCCTTTCCCTTTCATTTGGTCCTCATTTCAACAGCTTTCACTACTTCTGTATATGATACATTATTTTTAGCTCCTTCTTGTTACACTTACACTACACTCTTTCTGTTTTCATAACCCTCATGTGCAATACTATGTGCTTCTATACAGTTACAACATTTAACCCCTGCACCCTCTCCACGTTTGCCATAGTCATGCTTCACAGCATGCATTTTTCATCTTTGGCTTGCACACTGCTGGCATTTTCTGACTTTTTGAGTTAGCACAAATAAAATAAAAATATAATATACATGTATACAGAGGCTATTCCTTCTACATTCACTTACAAATTCCTTGCTTCTTCTTCATTCCCTCCATTCACATTTCTTTTTAATTCCTCTACTGATGACTTCAATAGTACTTCAATGAACAATCTGTTGCTTTATTCACCGAAGACATTGCTACAACTCACTTTTACAACCTTTTTAAAGAACATTTTTAATCTCATAATTATGGAAGCCAGTTTCCACTACATAAGAAAAAAAACACGCTTTGGTAAATCATAATTATGAGATAAAACATCGCAATTATCATCATTATGATGAACAAATTAAAATATGACGTCAAGTCAGAAGTTACTAAGTCATAATATTGAGATAAAAAGTTACCAAATTATGAGATAAAAGTGAAAAGTATATATGTCATAATTTTGAGATACGAGTTGCAATTATGAGAAACAGTCATCATTAAGATATAAAAATTTCAATTATGTAATCAAGTCAAAATTATGAGGTATACTAAGTTATAATTATGAGATAAAAAGTTGGCATAAAAGGTGAAATTATGAGATAAAAAAGTGAAAAGTATGAGATTCTAAGTCATAATTATGAGATAACAGTTGCAATTATGAGGAAAAAGTCCATTTTTTCAATTGTGACTTTTTTATCACAGTGTTGACTTTTTATGTGATGTTTTTTGTTTCATAATTTTGAGTTTTTAGTCTCAGGATTTTGACTGTTCATCTCATAATTATGACTTGGTATCTCATAATTTCAACTTATGTCTTAATTGAGACATTTCATTTTATAATTATAATTTCTAAAGATTTTTTTCTTTAGAAATGTGGTGGAAATGGGTCTCCATACAAAATTGTATCTCTACTCAAATGGTGCATAGGTACTCCCATGATTACCCAGTGCCACCTAGTTTCACAACCTTTCACAACAACAGTATTAGTGTATAACACAGTATTACAAGATACACTGTATGAAGGCACAGCAGGTATTGCTCTTTAGTAAATTCTCTGCAATATCATATCATATCATATCATATCATATCATATCATATCATATCATATCATATCATATCATATCATATCATATCATATCATATCATATCATATCATATCATATCATATCATATCATATCATATCATATCATATCATATCATATCATATCATATCATATCATATCATATATGTTTCTTCACCAGCGGCATCAGATTTGAATTGCAATTTTCTAAAAAGGTTTACATTTGCATTGTACAGCGGCTCTATAATGGGCTCAGGTATGAACTTACCACAGGAAAGTTTGTTTGGAACAAAATTTTGTTTTAGGGCTAATTAAAAAGAGGATTCGGGGAACGAAAACAAACTAGACGGTGTAATAACCGAGCATAATGCTTGCATTGTACAGCGGCTCTATAATGGGCTCAGGTATGAACTTACCACAGGAAAGTTTGTTTGGAACAAAATTTGGTTTTAGGGCTAATTAAAAAGAGGATTCGGGGAACGAAAACAAACTAGACGGTGTAATAACCGAGCATAATGTATACACAAACTTCATTACAAAGAGTTAAGTGAGGGCTTTGCTTTCAAGAAGATTAGGCATTTACCTGATTTTAGATTTCAGCTTGACTGTCTGTGATTTGACTGTTTTAACATGACGTTGTGGGCTATTTTTCACCTGTTGTTATCTATATGACATGCTTTCCGTTTCCTGGTGTATCAATGGTCATTGAAGGGTTGTTGTATGAACTGTGGTCCTGAAGCTTTAGCATGTTTGTCATTTGTGAGTCTGCTGTGCTTCTGCCAATAGCAGTTCTTTGGTAATGTTACTGCATATATGGTTTATTGACAGGAGTATGTTCTTATAGTTCCTGTAGCTCGGATCTAGTTCCTGTAGCAGGCAAGACGTTAGCAATGCCAAGGTCGTGGGTTTAATAACAAGTATCAATGTCTGTATTAAACATGTTTAAATACTAAC